CACAGAACATACAGGAACACGGCAGAACGCACAGGAGCACGGCAGAACACATGAGCAGGAGGAGCACGGCAGAGCATAGCAGCACAAGCAGGGGCACGGCAGAACACACAAAACACATAGGAGCACGGCAGAACACAGGTGCACGGCAGAATTGACGGCAGAACACGCAGGAGCACGGCAGAACACACAGGAGCACATCCGTAGCCATTTTGGCTCAAGGCCATGGAGCACCCGACGACCGCGAGTCGTCTGCGGCGTTACGAGCGCGAGGGGCTCCTCGCTTTGGGCGAGTGCACTCGTTTGTTCTCTTTGCTTTCGCTGCGCAGAAGCGCAATCGCTCAGACCGTGCGCCTGGGGCCATGGCGCGCTCCTCGCGAGGCGGCAGCAGGGGCAAGCGCAGCAGGCCGTACTGGATGTGCAGCTGCGGAGGTTGGAACTGGGACTGGCGTACCTCCTGCCTCAGCTGTGGGTATGCGGCACCGCCCTGGGCCACGGGGGCAACGCCGGCGGCGGAGAAACCCAAGGCAGACAAGGACGGCTGGGTGGACCAGCCGAGGGGGCGCAAAGCCCAGCGGCAGGCCCGCAGCGCGGCTTCGCGAGCAGCATCCGCCAAGTCGCAGACCTCGGCTTCAGCAGCCAGTGGGGCGCCCAGTGGCGGTGGAGTCACGGCGATCGAGATGCTACAAGCGACGGTCGAGCAGCTGGAGGCGCTGCAGGCAGGACCGCCCGAGGGCGTCGACGGCAGCTTCACCAGCGTCGTGGCCAGCCAGCTGGAGTCGAAGCGGGCTGAGCTGGCCAAGGCCCAGCAGGCAGCAGCAGAGCAGAAGGCCGCCTCCATGCCGAGGTCGACGCTGCCGCACAAGGAAGCCAACGCCATCAGTAAGTCGGAGAAGCGGCTCCGCGCAGCCCGCCAGGACATGGGGCAGAAGCAGGCGGCGCCCGACCTCGCGGAGGCCCAGCTCCAGAAGGCCCAGGAGGAGCTGGCGGAGCGGGGTGGCGCGCTGGAGGGGGCCAGCAGGGCGCTTCAGGTCCTTGAGGAAGCTGCCCGTGAGGAGGCAGAGGCGCGGGAGCGCCAGCGGGCAGCAGAGCGGGCAGGAGCTAGCCAAGTCCCAGGGCTCCTCACGCAGCTGGACAAGCTGCCAGAGGCCTGGGCCTCCAGCAACTTCGAGGTCGCCTGGGCGGCCATCCGCGCCCAGATGGGGGCAGTGCGAGCGCAGCTGGCTGGGCCCCCCCTGGCCCCCACGCATGCGCCGCAGGCGGAGTCCTGCCCCGTGGGCGAGATCAGCAGCGACGACGGCAACGACGGCAACCCGCTGCTGGGGGCAAGGGCACAGGAGGCCCTCCAGCGCAAGACAGGCCCTGAGAGGCCCGCGCTGCGGGGCCACGCCAGCTTGGCGGTGGGTGCGCCGAGGCGGCGGGCCTGCGCTGCGCCCTGGGGCCCAAAGGGGCCAGCCTCAGCATCTTCGTAGCCTTCGGCGACGCCGAGCTCTCCGCGGGCATGCCCTGGCCGGAGCAGGGCAACTCCGACATGGAGCCAGACGTGCTGCCCGAGTTGGGACGGCCCAGAGGGCTTGTCCGCCCAGTCTGTCTCCCTGGCGACGCTGCCGCAGTGCGCCGCCCCCGTGAAGAAGGAGCCTTTCAGGTGCCCGGCCGCGTGGAGTGCTCTCGCTGGCAGGTGGGGCCCCGCGTCTGGGCCTGGGAGGTGGGCCCCCACCAGTGCGCCCCCAAGGGGGCGGCTTGCCAGTGGATTCAGGTCGTCGTGAGCACCTCGGCGGGGATCCACGGCGTCAGCGACAGTGACCTGCGCGAGTCCCTGGGGCAGGCAGAGAGGCCCATGGCGGCCAGCGCAGCCCTCGGCGCGGTGAACAGGCGCGAGTACCGCCACGGAGAGTCGGCCCCCACCCGCGCCATGAGCCTGGCCCTCGGGGTAGTGCGACAGGGGCTCACAGCTGACTGGAAGCGGCGCTGGCAGCCCTCGCGCGGGACTCGGTACTTTTGGCATGAGGGGCATTGGCTGGATGATGTGGAGGCGGCCACCACAGCAGCCTGCGCGGTAAACGAGTTCGGGGCCCGTGAGTTCGGCACTAGCGAGGGGGGCGATTTCGGTGGCCAAGCTGGAGTACCTGAGCGCCTCGAGGCAATGACAGAGAAGTTGGACCCGCTGCAGCCAGGCGGGCTGCCGCGCGGGAGGCGCGCTGTGGGCTCGGAGGAGGCAGCAGCCAGGCGCGCCTGCGGCACTGCGGGGAGGCGCTGTGCCTCGCCCACCGTTGCAGTCGCGCAGCCCCTGGTGCAGCGCGGCTGGTACCTCGAGTCGGAGCGGCGCAAGGCAGCGGACCCCGATGGTGCGATCGAGTCCGCGCTCCTCGGGCCCCAGGCGCTGCGCATCAAGGATGTCGGCGGACTCGACAGTGAGCAGTACGTGTTTGGCTTGGCCCCGAGCGGTGGAGGGCCCCCGCCTGCTGACGGGATCGGCCAGGCGCAGTCCGCGGCGGCAGCGGAGCCCCATCAGGCTGGAGAGGCCCTCGGCGGCGGCGCCCCTGCCACGCGGGCCCGCCTTGAGGGCAGCAGCTCGACGGGGAGCGGCGCGGCCGCCCTTTCGCCCACCGCTGTCGCCTTCAGCGCCCTGGGGCACGTGCTCGGTCACGCCTGCGCGGGCGAAGGCGAGGACACCCAGGAGATCGTAGCGTGCACCAGGTGCGGCGCCTACAGAGCGCTGGGCAGCCGCGCAGATGGCAAGTCTCGACTGAGGGCGCAGTGCCCAGGGCCCAGTCACCTGACGAGCAAGTGGGGCAGGAACCAGCGCAGCCTGCGGGAGCGAGGGCTCCATCCCGGTGGCAGGCTGCGAGCGGACAAGCAGGGGGTCAGAGCAGAAGGCATCCCTGCCTTGCGCTCGCAGGGGCCAGTGCCAGGGCTCGCCCAGGAGCGCAACCTGGAGTGGCTTGGCATGGAGGCGGAGCCTTCAGGAGGAGCCGTAGCCGCGGCCAGCAGTTCGGGCAGTGGCCCTGCGGCTCCCGCAGCAGCACAGGGAGACGAGGCGTCGGCGGCCAGCCTGCCCCTGCAGCGGCCAGGCCCGAGTGCGGGCGCCCTCGGAGCTGGCGAAGCCAGAGAGGAGGAGCTCGCAGCCGCGGACGCCGCGCCAAGCGGCGGCCTGATGAGCCGCAGGGTCCGCCGCCGCCTGGCGCGCCGTGGCTCGACACACCTGGAGCTCTACCTGGAGTGGCTCGGCAGTGAGGCGGAGCCTACAGGCGGAGCCTCGGCAGCGGCCAGCAGCCCGAGCAGCGGCCCAGCGGCTCCCGCGGCTGAGCAGGCAGTGGAGACGGCGAGGCCTGCTGCCGCGAGCAGCACGGCGAGCGGAAGGCAAGTGAGCCGCAGGGTCAGCCGCCTTCTGGCGCACCGCAGCTCGCCGTCCGCGAGTGAGTGAGTAAGGGATAAGCATCGTTCGCTCTCGTGTGTTGCCCTTGGGTGTGTAGGCACGCGAGGCGCGCTCGGCCGTGAGGGGCTCCTGTGTACTGTCGCAGTCGAGTTCCCTTAGAGCGGTGACCCAAGGCGGCCCCGCTGGGAGTCCGTGAGGCGGCCCAAGGTTGCCCTTCTCGGGTGGGTGGCCCTGCGGGGCCCCCGCGGGCGGTGGCCCTAGGCGGCCCCCCCGTGCTGGCGTGTCTTTGGCCTTTGGCCCACCACTTTGCCTTGATGGCCCCGCCTTAAACTTTAACTTTAACACACAGGAGCACGGCAGAACACGCAGGAGCACGAGGAGCACGGCCGATCACACAGAGTACATAGGAGCACGGCAGAACACAGGAGCATGGCAGATCACACAGGCGCGCGGCAGATCACACAAAACACATAGGAGCACGGCAGAACAACCAGCAGCACGGAGGAGCACACAGGAGCACGGCAGAACACGCAGGAGCACGGCAGAACACCGAGAACATCTGTCCACAGAGCCGCACCCACAGGCGCAAGCACATAGGCACACGCACACGCATACGCAGACACATACACACACGCACACGCACGCACACACAGAGAGACAACATACGTTCACGCAGACCGCAGGAGCACGGCAGGGCAGCACGGCATAACACAGCAGTGCCGCAGACCACCACGCACGGACACACATGCACATTTTCCACGCACGCACGCGCACGCGCAAACGCACGCACGCCACGACAGACTTGCGCAGCGCATGCTAAGAACGCAGGATGTCTCGTAAGCCCAGGACACAAAAGGACCCTTCCCGTTCTTGTCCGGTCAGGTTCCATGGACGTGAAGCAAATCTCGTTTCCAACGATGCTTGCTGCCAGAAGCTGATGTCTCCAACTCCTACTTGATAGTGCGCACGGATTGAGGCACGCGTGCAGGCAAGTGTTCCGTAGCGGATTGGTGCATCTGCGCCGTGATGCGCCGTGGGTCTTGCGCCCTTGCGGTTCCAGTGCTCCTGGCTGGGATCTTGATCCAGGGCCTGGTCTTGCCGCTCAGGGAAGGGAAACACCGCTGGCTGTAAATGCTCTCGCGGGTAAGAACGGTAAGATGCCGCCAGTTGCTTGACCCACCCGCTGAAGCAGGAACGAATAATTACAAGCACAAGCGCAGCAACAACGACGACAGCAATATTCATAGGTTTTGGCCAGTGAGCGCAAGGCGACACAAGTATGTAAGCGTGGAGCACGATGCCGAAAATAATTGACTTGGATCCGAGTAGCTCAGCACTGGCATCCTGACCCCCTATACGGACATCCATAGTGACACCGCAAACCTGAGCATGATTCTGCCTCCTGGTTACCAGCAGTAGTTGCGATGTGTGCAAGTCCTCCTTCTCCTCCCTATCCTTCCTCCCCGCATGCCTGCTCATTTTTATTGTTCGTGTCAGTATTCGTATTCGCTCTCTTCGTCTTCACCCTCTCCCTCTCCTTCTTCCTCCGGCTGATGACCAGGGGCTGACTGTCGACTGCCATGGCCATAGAGCACGCATGCCAGCGCTCGGCGCGACCCCCGCAAAGGCCCGGAGCAAGGCGAGCTCAATGGCCAGACCGGCGGAGGAGTCCCGCCCCGAGCTCATCAAGGGTTTGTTCTTGAGGCTGGACGTCGACAGGGACGGAAAGCTGAGCCCGAGCGAGATGCGCAGGCAGCGGCTGCCCCGCCCGCCCGCCTGCCCTTCCCCCCCCAATGCAGAGCGACTGCCCTTCTCGTCGTCGTCGTCGTCCTCCTCCGTCGAAGACTTGCACCGTGAGGTGTTTGTTGTGTTGTTCTTCCTCCTCCTCCTCCTCCTCCACATCAGCGGCATCTAAAAGCCCTTCTGGTACCCCAGCGTCTCCGACACCGGTGGCGGCCGTGCGCCCTTCGCGAACTGGCAGCTGGACCCCTCAGCCTCTGCTTCTTCACTACCTCGCGAGGGCAGACAAAGATACCGACGTCGTTACTTACCACCACCGCATTGACATCCATGGCCGTGTCAACCTCATCAAGATGTACTGCAACGAGGAGTGCCACCTCGTCATCATGAACGTTCACAACCACGATCTAGAGCCTCAACATCGTGCCGCCATTCAGCTTGAATGGTCCTGTTTTCAGAGATGGGCAACGGCCGCACCTCGCAAAAGACTCTTCGTGGCGCTCGGCGATTCCAACGTACATGACGAGCCCCTATCCTCATACACTACACCGTCGGCAAGCGCGGCCCCACCGACGGCGCCCTTACCCGCCGTGAACTTCGCCGCACCGCCGGGGGAGCAACACCTGCAATCTTTCTTGAAACAGTTGTTTGGCAGCATAGTGCAAGTAGAGAACGGCCACCCGACGCGGTTCGACCGCCATTTTTTGACAGCAGCAAAGATTGACCGAGTATTCGTCCGTCTTCCTGCTCATGTCAGTCGAAATTTGTCCGTACACTTACATGTTGATTAAGAAGCAGCTGATTTGAGCGATGCCCGCATGAGCGATCATTGCGTATTAGCGTTACGTATGAAGTTGGCAGAGTCAGTGCATGACGAGTACTAGCGCATCCCTGGCTTCTTCTTCTTCAAGTTGTCGCAGTTTCAACGTCATTATGATATTCGATGATCCCTCTGTGACTTTCAAGGCCGCTCTCCTGCTCAATGCCTTCGTATCATGAGTGCCAACATGACCAAAGCAGCGATGCTCACCAGGCACTTCCTTACCGCCATGCCTGGAGGTTCTCGCCAGCAACTTGCCATAGCGGCACGTGCCATCACCATGTTGTCCATCTCCCGAGCGGTTTGGAGATAGGGCACTAGACTTGCGGCCGATCTCATCCAGCACGCGGAAGTGGGCAGGGACCGCTTACGCATCGAAGGTAGCCACTTCGCGCTGAACAGCGAGACGGGCTTCGCAACGCCGGCAGCTTCTACCCACCGCCTTCATGCCACATTTCTCCACAGGGACGCGGAGTCTCAAGCCACCAGAGCAGCACGGCTTCAGAGAACACACGACTTGGAGCACATCATGAAGCAGCAGCGCATGCTCCAACGTCGGAGTCGCTTGTGGGTTCCTTTCGCGTCTCGGCTACAGCTGAAGGGCATCGAGACCGCGCTTGGCCAGGCGGTTGCCAAGGACCCCGGAAGCATGTTCAAGGCGCTGGCGGACCACTGGAAGCCGATCTTCACGGACATCCCCAGAGTAAGCTCACCAGTTCACCACGTCCACCAGGCCAAGCTCGAACAGTTCCTTGACGCTCACATCCACGCGGACATCTCCCAAGTATGCCTCCCGCTGCCTACCGCTGCCTCGATGATGCACGCGGCCAGGGTAGCCCTTGATCCTGATCAGATCCCGCACAAAGCATGGATGGCAATAGAGGACAGCGTCGACCTGCTCGAAGACGATGACTGGGATCCCTTCGAATTCGGCGCTGCTCCCGAATGCTTCAACCGCTCGCTCTTCAATTATATCCCGAAGGGGTCGGAGCCCGACGACGAGGCGCGCTGCATTCGGGAGGCGGGCGCCCTCCGCCCCATCGCACGCAAGAGCGCCGACCCCAAGATTATCGCGTCGGCGATCAAACGCCAGGTGGCCAAGCAGGTCGCCCCGCATGCTCACGCAGTACAACAAGGCTTCATCAGAGGCAGGGCTTTCTGTCATAGCATCGCCCATGTCGACGGCGAAGCCCGCGTCGCTGGCTTCCAGCCGTATGCGCAAAGTGCCAAGCCCATGATCATCCTTTTCGACATTGCGGTCGCCTTCCCCTCCTTGGGCAGACAGTGGCTCTTCGGAGCCCATCGAGCACTTCGGGCCGCCCCCCCCCCAGGGCTTGAACAACGCGGCCCACGGCCTTCGCGACAGGGCTGAAGGCATGGTCTTGCTCGGAGGTGCCCGCCGCCGCATCTGCGACATCGAGAGTGGCGTAGCCCAGGGATGCCCTCTTTCGGGCTCGGCCTGGGCAGTGGCAATGGACACCCTCCTGCGTGCTATTGCCGACATCCTCCCATCTCAAACAAGAGGAACCGTTGGTGCCTGCGCCGACGGCACAGGCGCTACCATTCGCAACTTTCAGACCTTGCCGAAGATTGCCGCGGTCTTTGACGCGGCGCACGACCTGGGCAGCCTCCAGCAGCAGCCGGGGAAAAGCTTCCTCATCCTTATGTGGCAGGCCCTCGATGAGCGGCTGATCTCCGAGGTCGAGTCGACTATTCCTGCATTAGTGCCCCGATGTCAGGGCACCCAGATCAAAGCTGTTGGCAAGTACCTAGGGGTGCAGCTGGGCCCTGGCGCGGCACCCGATGCCCAGCGGACTGCAGCGGCGGAGAAATGGCGGCGCCGAGCGGTGCTCACGGGGCAATCATCCGCGCCTATCGACGCCGACGCGCGGCTCAACGACACCCACTGCCCCTCGGCGCTGTCCTACCTCGCGCAGTTCTACCCACTTCCCAAGAAGCTCGCCATGCAGGAGTTCCATGCTTGTCACAAAGTATTACGGCTATCGCCATCGACGCTCAAGCTCCCGGAGTTCCTTTTCCTGGGCGCCTGGTTGCCAATTGCAGCAGTCAAACATGCGCGCGCGACGGCGGCGGGCTCGACCTGGAGAACGGCCGAGTTCACGATCCCGTCGCGGCGCGACACGAACGAGAGGCTCGAGCAGCCAGCCATGGAGAGCATCGGGCCGCCTGCTTTCGTTGCCAACATGTGGGGTCGCATGTCCGGCGCGCCCAAGAGCACATCCGCTACTTCCAGGCGGTCAATGCCAAGCCTCTCGACTTTCCTACCCGACATCGTCACGACCTTGAGGTTTGTGCTGGCGCTGCCACGCGTACGGCGTCAGCTTTGCTGGAGGCCGGTCGGCGCCCGCGCCCTCGGAGGATCTTCGCGCGCACCCCGTCAGCGAGGTGGCCCCCCGGCGACTTCCACCTCGCCGTCAAGAAGAGGCTGACGGTGCGGCCCAGGGCCGACGACGCACCTGCGGACCTTGCAACCAGACACGAAACAGACAGTCCGAAAGTGAGTTCTGCCAGGGTCACTACAAGTGCATGTCCTGGGCTGCCCTCAAGCACGTCCCATGTGCCTTGCCCGGGCTTCCCGCAATCACCTCCCAAGCGCTTATCCTGGTCTGCCCGCAAGCAGGTGCTGCTAAATGTGGCCCCAGCTCGGCGCTAGGTCATGGTTCGCAACCTCGCAAAGCAGGGGGGGGGAAGGGGGCGCCTGAGCTGTCGCGCGCATGCGCTCCCCATTGGCCCCCGCGCTTGCGGGGCTGCCTCGACGCCAAGGACGAGATCCACCACTACCTCCAGCGCCCGCGGCTCTTGCACTGGGCGGCCCAGCCGCGCCAGCACCTCTGCGGCACCGCGCTGGAGAGGCCCACACTGAGCCCCGCCGAGAGCTATGTCGAGGAGGATTCAGAGAGTTCGACGGCCGCTGCCGTCCGCTCCGCTTTCCTCTGCCATTCTAGCGAGCACGGCAAGCACAGGCTTGTGCACTTCACCGCGAAGGACAGGTTCATGTCCTGAGCCCGAGCCCCGCCGCCGCCGCGGTGGGAACCAAACATCGTCGTCGATGCTATGGCCCCTCCTCCTCCTCCTCCTCCTCATCCTCCTCCTCCTTCAGCATTTAGCTGCCTCGCCACACCTCCCTCCGCCAGCCTTGCTCGGCCAGATCTGCTAACCGTGAAGGGTTGTCTTCGATGGCCGCCGAAGAAACAGGAGCTCCGAGGGAGGGTCGCGATCCAAGCCGACACAAGAAAGCGACTAAGTAGGTCGGCCCAGGTTTCGGCATCCTCTTCCGTTTCCTGCCCGCCCCTGTCCTCGTCCTGTTTTCTTCCTCCGCCTCTTGTTCCTCTCTTGGTTATCCTCGTGCCCCCTCCTTCCTTCCCCACTGCCTCCTCTTCCTTTTCGGTTTCGCAATTCATCCCACTCTCGGGTCATTCTAATTATCCCAGTGAGACCCTACCTAGGAGTTGGAGCATCTAGGAAAGCAACAGCTACATCTACACCGACAGCTACATTAACATCTATACCTGCATCTACATCTACATCAACATCAACAGCGAGACTCACATCTATGCTATGGTATGCTATGCTACGCTGCGTTGTGCTATGATAAGCTAAGCTATGTTATGATATGATATTGTATGATGTGATATGATATGATATGATGTGATATGCCATACTGCGCTATGCTATGCTGCGCTATGCTATGGTATGGTATGATATGATATGATATGATCTGCAATGCTGTGCTATGGTAAGCGAATCTATGACATGTTAGACTATGCTACGCTGCGCTATGGTATGATATGGTATGCTATGGTATGTTATGCTGCGCTATGCTATGCTATTATATGATATGCTATGCGATGCTATGCTAGTGCCGCGCTAAGCTGAGCTAAGCTAAACCAAGCTAAGCTATGCTAAGCTAGTCTAGGCTAAGCTAAGCTAAGCTAGACTAGGCTAGGCCAAGCTAAGCTCAGCTAAGCTGAGCTAAGCTAAGCTCAGCAAAGTTATGCGAGGCTCAGCTAAGATGAGATAAGCAACGCTAACCTAAGGGGACGTAACTGGGGAACCGCGGGGCGGATACTGGGGGAACCGCCCGGGGCGGTGTGCACTGCCCGACCCCTTTAAGAAAGAGAGTAAGAACCCTCTAGGCAGAGCCTAGGTATGGAATAACCTACGACACTGGCAGATGGGCACGCATCTTGCGGCCCTGGTAGCTCCATGCGGAGATCGGGCCGGCAGCTTTTGACTTTGGCGTTATAAGACACACCCCAAGAGCACCCCGGAGTGCCCATAAATGTTTGGAACATCGCGGTGCGAGCCCTTAAGAACTTACGCTCTTTCGAATTAGCAGGGCATCTGATTAAGAAATCTTATTCCGAATAGCTGTGCCAGCGTTTCTTAACCAACTTGCCGGAAAGCTGGCCAAATTTCTTGAGCACGTTCGCTCCTCCAGCGTCACCGACAGAAATTGGCCCAGATTTGTTTTAAGAATTTTCTGGGAAGTTGACTTGGATTTCTTAAATCGTAGTTATCTTGATCATAGGTTCGGCGGTATCAATATTTTATGAGCCTTGGGCCGCTCCACTACGTGCTGAAGGCACAGGAGCGGACAGGGCGGGGGCCCTCGGAAAAATGATCCTCCAAAGTTTTGGGGGGCCCTGGACCTCGTGGGCGCCCTTGCAACATTTTTCATCCGGTTTCTCGGCGTCCTGGGCGTCCCTGACAGGCCTCGGCAACATGCCCGAGGCAGTGAGGACGGCGTCCGAGAAATCCCACGAAAGCCCCAAGTGACTTCAGAACCCCCCGGCACGCCCTAAGGAGACAGAAAAATAACTCCCAAGAGGGCTCCCGAATGCCAGCGATTTTATTCCCATGCTTGTTGACCGAATTGTTGGGCATCCGTTTCTACAGTCTCAGTCTTCCAGGTTCCTGATGCTTCCGAAGAGGCCACCAAATATCGCCCGAAGACAGAACCAAACGAATGTAGACGGCCCGAGAAAACCCCGATATGCTCGAAGGCGGCCCCAAGAAAACCCCACGGCTGCCCAACATGACCCCAAGGCGCCCCCCAACGCACTCCACGTCGGGGTCCGGTCGTTGAGGGAAACCGCGCTTGGCAGCAAGATGGCCCCGAAAAGCCTCCAGGCTCACGAAAGGCTCCCAGGGTGCCTCCAAAGGCCCCGAAGAAGCGTCAAGAAGCCTTCGAGAGGCCCTCTAGAGACCCCCAAGGAGGAGCCTGCGCCAACAAAATTAAGAAGAAGGACGGGGAAGGGTTCACAGGGAAGGGCCAGAACGAGGAAAAGGACGAAGTAAGATGAGGAAAAGGAAAACAAGAAAAAGGAGGAGAAGGACGACATCGAAAAATGGGACAGTAACATACTTTTGCTCTCTCTCTCTCTCTCTCTCTCTGTCTCTCTCCCTCTCTTTTTCTCTCTCTCTCTCTCTCTCTCTTTCTATATATATATATACATACATACACATCTTCAACTGCCTACGGCAAGTCCCGCCACCGTGCCAGCCCAGAATTCTGGGTGGCGATTGCTCGAGGGCGCACAGGTGGCAGTCACGTGTGACACCTCGGGTCTCAAGGCCTGGGAGAGCCGTGATAAGGATGATGATGATTATGAGGATGATGGGGGTAATGATGATGATGATGATGATGATGATGATGGTGATGATGATGGTGATGGTGATGGTGATGGTGATGGTGATGGTGATGGTGATGGTGATGGTGATGGTGATGACGATGGTGATGGTGATGGTGGTGATGATGGTGATGATGGTGATGATGGTGATGGTGATGATGGTGATGGTGATGGTAATGATGATGGTGATGGTGATGATGATGGTGTTGAAGACGATGACGATGACGTTGAGTAGGATTATGATATTGAAAATGATAATGGTATTGAGAATGAGGATGAGGATAAGGGTGATGACCAGTGTAAACCAAATAATCGTCAAAGATATAGGAAGAAACCCTTTGGAAGGCAACCGTTTGAAAATCTGCAACCGTGCCTGAACACCATTCCTTGGACTTCAACGCCGCGATTCACCTTTACTGTTTGTTGCGTCTTCACGATCCTGAATCGTATCAGAACGCCGTTCCTGGCATTCCAGCACCGCGAATGATCGTGGCAGTTGCGCCCAGACATTCCGACATTGTGCCAAAACACGATTGCTGCAAATTCTTGAGACGAATGTGCACGGCGCTAGGCCGATAGCTACATGTTGGAAAGCAACCGCCCTCCATATGTGAACCGATTGCAAACATTTAAGACGAATGGGCGCGGCGCTAGGGCGAGAGCCACATGTTGAAAACGACCCGCCCCCCATCCGTAAAACTTTCACATGCTTTAAGGACGAATGCGCGGCGCTAGTGGGAGAGCTACATTTTGAAAACGACCTGCCCTGCATCCGTGAATCTCTTGCTTCTTTTTAAGACGAACGAATGTGCGCGGCGCTAACGGGAGACCTGCATTTTGGAAACGACTTGCCCTCCATCCGTGAAGCTCTTTTTTGAAAGACGAACGTGCTCGGCTAAGGTGAAAGCTACATTTTGAAAGCGGCCCGCCCTCCGTCCGTGAAACTGTTGCAAGTTTAAGTGTCCGGATCCTAAATGGTGAGGGAGTCTCAGGCGAGACGCTCGGCCTGCCCTTTCGATTGGCCTCGGGGTGCGACGGAGTTATTCATAAGGAAAGACATGGGTGATGGTGATCATGCTGATGATGATGATGATGATGATGATGATGATGATGATGATGATGATGATGATGATGATGATGAAACTCGTTTGGGCCGTCTTGGGGCTGTCTTGGCATCCTGTGAGGCAGTCTTGGGGGTTCCTTGTGGCCCTCTTGAGCCGTCTTGGGCTCTTACGCCGGCTGGGAGCTCTCTTGGGCCGTGATGGGGCCCTCATGGCCGTATGGTGGGTGTCTGGGGGCCGTCGTCTTGCGCCGTCTTGGGCCATCGAAGGGCCGTCTAAGGCCCGTCTTGGGTCCCACGGGAGGTCCTCTTGGGCCGTCTTGGGGCCGTTTTGGATGTCTCTTGGGCCATTGTGGAGCCGTCTTGGGCTGATAGCAGCCCGACAAGGCGAGAATGCGAAAATCATTCAAAAACCCTAGGGCAATCAATGGTTTGGGTTTCTTCGGACCCTGTTGGAGGTTCGCTTGTGGCCATTTGGGGCCCTCTTGGAGACATCTTGAGCCGTCTTGAATCATTATTCGGCTGCTTTGAGGCCAAGTTGGGCCGTCGTCGATGCATATTGGGCCATCTTGCTGTCCTTAGTTGCCTGCACGGGCCGTCTTGGAAACTCAGGACGCAGATCCTTTTTTACGAGGGATCGTTGCTTGGGATGCTCTGCAGCGCTTGGGAGCAGCGGCTGGGAATGCGGAAAGTGCAAGTCGAGCGGGTGCGCGCGGGATGAGGGGCTTCGGAGTTAGCAGCCATGCGGGAAGTGCACAATCTTCGAGCGGGCGCACATGAAATGAGGGTTCAGGCGTTGGCTGCCATGCGGGACGTACACCATCCTCGAGCGGGCACGCGTAGAATGGGGGTTCAGGCATTAATGCTGCCATGCGGGAAGTGCACCATCCTCGAGCGGGCACGCGTGGAATATGGGCTTATGCAGTAGCGGCCATGCGGGAAGTCCACCATCCTCGAGCGGGCACAAGAGAAGTGGCCTCGGTGAGTACGGGGGATGAACGCAACAGTCCGCGGGTGGACGGAGCGGCGGGCACATATTAGATTAAAAACCCTACCAGTCAGGCCTCGGCATTCTTCCACGCCTCAACGTGCCAGGGGCAGGGTGGCGGATACATATAACACTCACCGCCTGCGTGCTAAACTTGAAAGGCCAAAACGCATGGCGCGAAGCGCCAACGCAGTCTTGTATGATTATGGTTGTACATATGTATACAAACACTTATCATGATTGTTGCTGGTGTTGGTCGTATTTCCCAAAAGCAGTGCTTGCACCTAGGGGTTCTTGCTTCTGGTCTAAAGAACAAAAGAACAAGGCGTGTGTGTCGGTCTGGCGGCTCCGTGCCAGCCGTCGCCGCCCCGTTGCCGCCTCGTCGCCGCCCGTCGCCTGGACTTGTGTGTCGGTCTGGCGGTTCTGTGCTGGCCGTCGCCGCCGCGTCGCCGCCTGTCGCCGCCCGTCGCCGTTGCTTCGCCGCCGCCGTCGCGTTGCGTTGTTTCGCGTTGCATTATGTTATGTTGCTCTTCGTTGCTCTGCATTGCTTTGCATTGCAAAGCATTGCCTGGCCTTGCGTTGCATTGCTGTGCGTTGCACTTCGTTGCGTTGCATTGCTCTGCCTTGCTTGGCATTGCTACGCCGTCCTGAGCATTGCCCTGCGCTGCCGCTGCGGAGTAGGGATGCGAACTTACAGTGCCAGAAGGCAGACTGACCATCTTTGAACTGCCCTCGATGAGTACGCTAGCTCTTGCCACACAGATTTCATCACTGGGATTTCCAACTTACATGCGATTCTGCCCCATCGTTCATTCCAAGTACGAACCATACCATCCCAGCCCAGCCGGTATCGACACCCCCCTTCGGCCATGGCAAAAATTATTCTGCGCGCGCACTCGTTTATCAAACTCATCGACTTTCAAAAACCCATTGCAACAAATGGGACGAAAAGCGCACGCGCGCGTCGTCGCGCGCGCATGCCAGAATCAGTCAAGACCCTTAGGTTTCGTACGAAATCCAAAATCGAGAGTCCCGAAAGCACATAAAGACACATGTTTTGGCAACATGATTTGTCACAAAGAATGTCTGCGCGCGTGCCCTTGCGACTTCTTACGAAAACCATTAGCTGTTCAACATTTTCATTAAAGGCGACCAAATGGGCCTCTCGCGCGCACATGTCGAAATCATTACAACGCCCTTGCGCGCGTGCTGGGGGGGCACGGTCCTTGTCAAATAATACCATGCGGGTCATTTGCACGCGTCGGCCGCGTGCGCATGTCGAAGGCCCTCCGAAAATTTCATTACCGACGCGAGGACACCATCATGGTCACCGGCATGATCAGCATCGGAGTCGTCATTGGCCGTGTCGTCGTCATCGTCATCATCGTCGCCGTCATCGCTATTATCAGATTCGCGTCCACCGCTGTCGACTTCGCCATGATACCGCGCCCGCCCGAGTCACCGTCTCGCATTGACGTGCCCGCGCGTCAGCGCGGCCTGCGAAACGCGATGGGAAGTGCCCACCTGTCAGCGCCACCGCGGCCGCGTCGGTCGCGGCAGACTAGCTGGCCGTTCTGCGCGCGAGCATGTGCGGGCTAGCACGGCAGCAGCGATGAACCAGCCAGCACCAAGCAGTCATCGCAATCGCGCCGCATGGGTTTCCCAGACAAAATTGCGGGCGAGCAGGTTGGATGATTGCGCGAGCATGAGAGTTGACAGCTCCAAGTTCTTACAACATATAACTGCGCCGCGTAGATTTCACCACATCGATTCCATTGCACCACATAGATTGCTCCACATATCTTTCACAGCATTGATGATCCTCCTTTCGAGTACAAAAAACAAAGAAAGAAACTCGACCCCCCGGATTATCCGCACTTTTTTTCGCATTGCCATTTACATGCGATTCTGCCCTATCGTCCATCTTGAATATAAATTCAAACCATCCCAGCCGAGGCGGTATCGACCCCCCCACCACCATCCTGTTAAAAATACGATGAGCGCGCAGTCGTCTGTCTTAAACCAACAGTTTTCAAACGTCGCCTCCAACAGATATGACGAAGTGCACGCGCGCGCGTCGTCGCGCTCGCACGCCGGAATCCTTCGGAAACCTTCGGCGTCGGAAGGATTTCAAAATCGAGCGTCCGAAAAATTGACAGAAACGCATGGGTTCGCAACGCGGGTTTTCAAAACTAGCTTGCGCGCGCGATCTTGCGAATTGGTAAAAAAAATGTTTTTTCAACATGTTCATACAATGCTACCGAAAGGGCTTCGCGCGCGCGCATGTCGACATCGTTCGAACGCCCTTGCGCGCGCGCTGTCGCGACAAGCCGCTGCAACGAAAAGGGCGAAGTGTACGCGTGCGCGCGTCGTCGCGCGCATGCCGAAATCAGTCAAAGATCATTGGCTTTGCAGCGGTTCCAAGACCGAGTGCCCCAAAAAAATAACAACACATGGTTTCGCAACATCAGTTGGTGTTTTTTGTTTTTAAATTGTTTCTTTAATGTTCCCGCGCTCTTGCGAATTATTAGGAAAGCATCAGCGGTTTTTTCGACATGTTCACTGAATGCTGCCAAACGGGCCTCTCGCACCGCCAACCGAAATCATTCGCGCGCCCTTGCGCGCGTGCTGGGTGGCACGATCTGCGTCGAATAAATCAATGCGGGCCACTCGCGCGCGTCGGCCGCGCGCGCATGTCGAACTCTTTCCAGAACCTTCAACGCCGACGCGAGGACGTTGTCATCGTCGTCGGCGCGATCAGCATCGGCGCCGTCATTGGCCGCGCCGTCGTCGGCGTCTACCGTCGTCGCCATGATGCCGCGCCCGCCCGAGTACCGACTCGCGTTGAACTGCCCGCTGGGATGCGCTCAGTGGTCAGCGCCACCCCGGCCGCGCCGGCCGCGCCAAATTAGCTGGCCGTTGCGCGCGCGTGTTTGGGTTGGCGCGGCCACAGAAATGCCCCGGCCAACGCCAAGCAGTCATCGCAATTGCCGCCGCATGGGATTTGCAAACATGCAAACCACGTTGTGGGTGGGTGGGTGGGTTGTTTGCAAGAGCATGGAATGTGTCTCTCGCCTGTTAATATCAATTGCACCACATAGATTCCTCTTTCTAAAATGATACCGGAGCGCCAGAGTTTTCAGTACTACAGGCACGAGCCCGGGAAGGTTCTGCGCCACAGGCACGAGGACATCCGAGAGGACCCTCTGTGAGTTGGTTCGGCGCCTCGGGTGCCACGCCTGAATCAGAGTACGTATCTGACCAGATCGTCTCCGCAACAAGCGCGAAGAAATATGGAGCTGGAGCCGTTGCCGCTGCAGTTTGACTTTCAGCGCCCCAAGGGAGTTGCGAGGAAGTCTCAGTCGAGAGTGCTACTCCTGAGTGTGAATGCGCACTTGTCCATTGCGTGTGTGAGTAAAGCTCGATAAAGTATCGACACAGCACAAAAGCACAACACAGCATAAAATAGTCGGCACCTTTGAGAACCCCACTTCAGCCGCAGACCCAGAGACAGTGTAAGACAGTTCGGCCCACTCACTCTGATGTGGTGGGTGAGGTGGAGAAACTGCTGATGAGGCCGAGGAGGAACAGGAGGAGGGCAAAGAGGAAGAAGAGGCTGAGGAGGATGAGGAGAAGGAGCGGCGATGGTGGACGCGCGCCGCAAGCTGCGCTCGCGCAGATTCGCCGAGCAGCAGGACTTCAATGGCAGCGAAGAGGATTGGGCAGAGGCCTACAAGGATTGGGAAACGCTGGGCCATGAATCCGGGGCCTCGTATCCTCCTCCACCTCTTCCTTCTTGCGTCTGCGCTTCGGCAGGGAAGGAGGGGGGAGGAGGAGGGCGGGATGGAGGGGGGGAGGAAGAGGAGGAGTAGAGAAATAGGAAGGCGTCAGCTGGGATAGAGGATAAAGCTGTGAGGAGGGAGGGAAATAAGGAGGTGGGGGCCTCGCCAGTCCGCGAATCGATGTGTGAATTGGCTTGGCCCATCAGTGACGTAGCTGAGGAGTTCGGCGGTCCTTCGCTGGCGGAGGCTGGGAGCAGCAGCGCAGGCCGCAGCCGCCGTCCTGCGCGCTTGCCGCGAAGTGCAAGTTGGTCTCGGATTCGTGCTTGCACGCCTGGCCCTGGTGGCCATTCGCCCCAAAAACGGACGCGTGCGCCAGGGCCGCGACACGGGAGGAGGAGGGAAGAGGGAGAGGGAGAGGGAGGGAGGAGGGAAGAGAAGAAGAGGCGGGATGGAGGAGGAGAGAAGAGGGGGGAGGGGGGAGGGAAGACGATAGTGGCGAATAGCTCAGGGGAGAGCAATACATGTATCCAAAGCCTCCGATCGCTCATGTCTTCGACGAGGCTCACGGGCGAATACATGCAACGCCCGTGCCTGGTCTATCCGCCTGTATAGCCCGCGCCGAGGAAGAGGGGGGGAGGAGGGAGGCAGGGACGTGAAGGATTTAGAAACGGCCCAAAGCATAGCAGCAACCGCGGCTTCTCTCCCACGTTCAAACTTCCATGCCTGCCCCCGCTCCCTCTTTCTTCCCGCCATCCTCCGCCACCCCTTGTTCATTCCCTCTTTCACTCGCTCGCTCGTTTTCTCCGACCCTTCCCTGCTTTCCTCCCTTTCTCCCCCCCTCCGTCCCTCTTACATACCCCCTCCCTATCCCTATCTCTGTCTCCATCCCTCTTTTGCTATCCTGGAGACACCAGGGCCCCATGCATCCGTCTAGGTTCAGCGTATTCGCCTCCCACAGTCCAGAAGCAGTGAGGCTTCATCATGTCCGGCGCTCCTTTTGGCTCGGCATGAGGGTGCCCATGGGTTGCAATGTGGTGGGCGATTTTCATGCCTTGCGAGGCCCAGTCTGGTGCAGACTAGACGCATGGCGCATGTCTGTTCTGACTCGAACCTCACCAATGCATGCTCCGATGAGCAATTCTGTGTGGGCGTGTTCCTGAGGCGTGAAGACAGCAGGATTTGGCAGCACGATCTGCCGTTGCCGTGGGTTGCCAGGAACGCAACAAGCACATGAACTCGCTGTCTACAGTTTACATCAGCATTGGTGTCACTGTGCAGGATATCGCTCGTTCGAGCGATCTGACGCTGTCATGACCATGGACATTTCGCCCCCTCCCCTCCCCTCCCCCCCTTGCTCTCTCCCTTCCCCCTCTCACTCCCGCTTCCCCCCCCCACACACCCCTTTCCCCGTGGAAGCATGGGGGTTGGCTCGAGTCTGGCCCGCAGCAGCTGGTTCCTGGGGCGTCGGAGCACGGGTCTCCAGAGGACCAAGTTGGCTCTCCGAAGGGTGCCAAGACTCGTGCCCCCCCTCTTCGCACCGCTTCCCAGAAAGGTCCGACACCCCGCATTGCATCTCCCTGGTGCGCGCGATGCGTTTTCGGTTGTGCCTCCCCTCGGGAAGGAGCTCTGTACCGAGAAAGGCCGAGACCCAGCCAATGGCGTGGACCTGTCGCTCTTCACACAGCTCGTGGACGACGAGTCAGAGGACAATGACGGTGACGAGGGAGAGAGGAGGAATGATGAAAGAGGGAGGGAGTAGGATGAGGGAGGTCGGAGGAGGGAGGATAAGGACGGAGGAGGAAGAGGAGAAGAAGGACGAGAACGAGGAGGAGCAGGGGGAGGAGGAGGAGGAGGAGGAGGAGGAGGAGGAGGCAGAGGAGGCAGAGGAGCAGAAGGAGGAGGAGGAGGAGGAGGAGGAGGACGAGGAGGATCAGGAGAAGGAGCAGGGAGGAGGAAGAGGAGGAGGAGGACCAGGAGGAGGAGGAGGACGAGGAGGAGGAGGAGGAGGAAGAGGAGGAGGAGGAGGAGGAGGGGGGGGAGGAGGGAGGAGGCAAGACGGAGAGATGAACGAGTGACCAGTGCGTGGCTGAAGGATGTTGTCCGCTGAGTTTGGGGCGGGACCAGTGGGAGGCCAACCTCCCTAGATTGGCAGCGCAGAAAGCGTCCTGTTGAGATGCTAGTAGAGTGCCACGACACAGCGACATGGACATGGAAGTAACCGACAGGGGCTCTCCACATGCTCTCGATATTCTGAGCATGCTGTCGGGGACACGCGGATGCAAACCAGACCGCCGATAATTTCTCCCAGACTAGTGCATAGTAGAGCCATCGCTGACGTGCGACAGGCAACGCACACTGTTGCGGCTTCAGCGAGTAGGCAGCACAAGCAGACAGAGCAGTGGGCACATTGCGCTAAGCATCTCAGCTGTCAACTAGTAATCCTTAGCTCATGGTTCCATCTGGGCTTTAAAATGGTGGTATGAGATACGGGACTGGAATACGCGGCCTTACTCAGGACTTCCTGTAGAGTTTGTTATGATCGCTGCATAGCGCTGGTGTTTGGCCAGATACTGCGAGCACCGTGGCTCGAGAGCCTCGTAGTCTCCGTCAGTGAACGGAGTCCAGGTGCCATTTGCGCCGTTGCATCTCCAGGGAAGGCTGTATCCAGCCCGAGACGACCTGGGGCATCACT